GGTATGGGACTTCACTGAGCCCATTTCCTTAACCAGGATGGGGTGTGCTACGAGCTATCCCAGTATGAGGGCTAAGCCTAGGCCTCTTAATTCCACAGTCACTCCACTCATCTGGGCACTGGAAATAAATGGCTATTTGGGCGAGTTGTTGTTAAATACATAGTTCCCTTCTGAACAGGTCACACATGTCGTCTCAGAAAACCAAGAACTATGGACAGTGTCCCGGAAATGAGGGCTGAGACACAACAGACAGGACTGTGGGCCTCCAGGGGTCAGGCACATCTGGTGTGGGACGCCAAGACTGGGCCCTCACAGGCCCCCTCACAGGAGGAGTCCGTGGGGCCTATTCCTGTCCCAGGGCCCAGCACACACAGGGGAGCCGATCCGTTCTTTCCCTCATCTCTCCTCCCGCCCAGATCCCTCCCGGAACCAGCGGGTGTCCTCGGGGGCTGAGTCTCCCCAGTCTGCCTTCTCAGTTTGGGAACACGCATACACGGGATGTGTCCGTTGCTCTCGGTGGGCAGCTTTGCAAGCCAGGCCCCATGCATAGTTCCAACAACTGAGAGTGGGCAGTAGCTCCTGCTTTTCCATCTCGTGTTCATTTTACACCCACGATCCAGCACCCAAGTTTCTTGGTGGAAGGGAAGCCGTGGACCTACTGCCAGTGGGCACGGTTCTGATCAATGCCTGGCAGCGGGAAGGGTTAGCTCACAGACTCTGGAGTCGCCTGAGCCCAGTCTCTCTGCCCATTCCCAGCCCAGCGCTCGGTGCCCTCTGTCCTTGCTCATTCAATCTTCACAAGAGCCCCGAGGGGCAGGCAGGGAGAGTCCCTTCTTACCCAGGAAGAGGCTCTGCACTCACCGACTGTATGTCCACCGGCTCTTCTCACTCCGAGTTTTAACACCGCCTCTCCACAAACTGAGTTCACCAAACTACTTCGCACCCTCCAACTCCGCACAAACCCTCTCCAACCGACTCCACCAACTCCTCACCTACCGACTCCTAACCCTCCTACTCCACGCCTACCCACTCCACAACCACCTAACATTCCGCTCTCTCCATGCCCACCATGCCAAACGGCTCTAGGCTCCGCATTCTAAACGGCTCTGCCAGCGGCTCAGTCCCCTCTCCCTACAAAACTTCAGATTTAGCTGGGCATATAAAACATAACGAAACATAAAAGTTAATTTATACACCCTATACCATTATAAATGGAAACTAACCACTTCATTCTAATATGTCTACCCATGTTTTGAAAAATTACTTTCTTCCCATCAGCCAAATTATAAAGATTTGACCCATTCCTTTAAGGGAACAACACATTCACTTTATTTTGTGAAGTCTTACCTAGAGTGCTGAGCTCGGGAATTCTTCTCCCCATCCACTGGGAAGAGTTCAGACATAGAACCCTGAAGTCCACCAGTCAACTGCCTAAAAAACAATTTGACAGACCACTAACCAATATGTATTTTATAAGAAAAATGTCCAGAGTAATGCTGTATATTTGGAAAATACTTTATTTATTTAAAAATATATCTTAGCCGAAACCAGTTTGGCTCAGTGGATAGAGTATCGGCCTGTGGACTGAAAGGTCCCAGGTTCGATTCAGGTCAAGGGCATGTACCTTGGTTGCTGGCACATCCCCAGTATGTGTGCAAGAGGCAGCTGATTTATTATTCTCTCTAATCGAAGTTTCTAACTCTCCCTCTCTCTTCCTCTCTATAAAAAATCAATAAAATATATTTTTATCTTTGCCCATAGCTGGGGAAAGAAGTCTTATGGCCGGGCCATAAGAACTAGTACTGTAAAATCCAGTGTGGATTGGGGCTGGAGACCCAGCTGCTCCTCTTAAAAGGCCAGCACCACAACTGAATTTACAAGCTCCCGCTTGTGCCGAGTCCAGTGCCTCACAAGGCTCTGGGGACCCAGACAAATACGGGGAGAAACTGGACTGTCTGGCATCGGGGCAGGAATGCGGGGGCGGCTTTCTTCCGGATGGAGATGCTAGTTGTGGTCATTATTCCTGTGCTGGAACCTCCCTGGTGCAGGGCTGACTGGCAGCCATTTAGTTTGCTCTACCCTGAATATTCCCTTAGACCTCTCTTCACCCAATTTACAACCCCAACCAAGCTGTGAGCAAAGGCTATTATGTATAAATGGCCTGTCCTTGTTCAGCCTAAAACTTGTCTACCAAGCTGCAGCTGGAACAGGAAACTGCAGAGCTATCAATAAAAATCCCAAGGCTGGCACCAGCACCAGCCTGCCTTGCTTCACAGCTGGGCCTCATCTTGGCACCTCCAAAGCCCAAACAAAGAGGAGGAATCTGCAGATATCTCTGTAGTTTCTGCTGGGTGGCCTCAGGCAGTGGCTGACTTGGCACCTCCTTGGAGATCCAAGAGTCAGTGTACCCAGTGGTCAGTGTGAGACTAGACTAGATTACAACCCTTCACATGCATAAGTGACATCCTCAAGGGGCAGACTCAGTGAGCACCAACGCCCCACCGAAGTAAGTCCTGCCCCATAAGGATGTCTCCTGCACAGCAGCTCTTCCACTGTAGACCCAGCTAGTCCGCACAGCCAATTGGCCTGGAAGGTAGTTCCTCCCATTGATACCAACAGCAATCAAGGCTTAACTACAACAATACTGTGCACACAGCTCACAAAGGAGTACACCAAGAGTGTCCCATCTCAGGTGATTGGGGAGGCTGAGTCACTAGGCCCTATAGGAAACCTACCAACCAAGGGCACTCTATCAATTCAAAGAGATTTAGCAGCTACCCAATACATAGAAACAAACACAGGATAGCAACCAAAATGCAGAGACAAAGAAACATGTCACAAATGAAAGAAATTGAAGAAAGCAAAATAGTGCATATAGAGGTCAAAACCACAGTTATAAGGTTATTCAAAAATCTTCTAGAAACCTCTGAGAAACTATTGTGATTTTCAAAGAACTTAGTGAGAATGCAAAAAAAAAAAAAAAAAAAAAAAAAAAAAAAAAAAAAAAAAAAAGGAAAAGGATCAGTCGGAAATTATGTATACATGGACTAAAATAAAGAATAATATGTGGAGATTCAACAGTAGACTAGAGGATCCCAAGAATGAAATCAAAGTTCTGAAATATGAGAAAGCAAAAAACACCAACCAGAAAAACAAAAAGAAAAAAGAATCCAAAAAATTAAGATAGTGTAAGGAGGGTCTGGGACAGCCTTTAGCATACCACTATCCGAATTATGAGGGAACCAGAAGAAGAGAGAGAGCAAGATATTGAAAATATATTTGCAGAAATAATGACAGAACACTTCCCCTACTTAGTGAAAGAATGTGACTTACAAGTCCAGGAAGCACAGGGTCCCAAGCAAGAGAAACCCAAAGAGGGCCACACCAAGACACATCATAATTAAAATGCCAAGGGCAAAAGACAAAGAGAGAATCTTTTTTAATTCAATAAATACTTATTGTTCAGATTATTACAATTGTCTCCCCTTCTCCCCCCAGAGCTCCCCTCTACCCAGTTCCCACCCCATCCTCTCCCTTTACCTCCCCACCACTGTCCTCATTCATAGGTGTACATTTTTTGTCCAGTCTCTTCCCACACCCCCGAAGAATTGTCAGTTCACCCTTTCTATGCCCCTGATTCTTTTATATTCACCAATTTATTCTGTTCATCAGATTTTTTTATTCACTTGATTTTTATTTTGATTTTATTTTTTCTATTTTTATTTTTTAGAGTGGAATTATAAACCAAAAACTGAAGATGTATTGCTGTGAAAACAAACCTGTAGCACAGTAGATGAATCTTGGGTATTAAGCATCATCAATTGAATCCAGTTAAGTTGAACACCTGGTAAGAAATCTGTGTGTGCATGTGAGAAAGTCGGTGAGCCAGCTGACCCAAGAGCAACTGAGATATCTAACTGTTGAGTGAGACCAGATATTATTTTAAATCTCCATTTTTGGAAGGCAATTAAAAATTACAATTCCAACAGCCTACAAGCCATATTTTAAAAATTGCAGAAAGCAATTAAAACTACTTTCAAAGAGCCTTTTTCCCCAGCTCAATTTCAGCACCCCAAGGAGAAATAAAATGTTGTTGACTATTTCACTGTCGGAAAAGTCTTTACAATGACTATCACAGATGAAAACAAAATGAATGTCACTGGAATCAGTTGTTTTTCCCCACCGAGGTATAAAATCTATATAGAAATTTGATTCTATTCTATAACAAATTGTACTTCTCATAGTTCTGTTTTAATTTCCTTTAAACACTGTTTAATATAGTTGTTTGTTTGTTTTTTTTATAAAAATGTTGTTTTCATGATTCTGAACCTGGTTCCAGTTCTTTTCATATATTTTTATGTCAATCTTTAATATACTGGCCGAGACCGGTTTGGCTCAATGGATAGAGGATTGGCTTGGGGACTGAAGGGTCCCAGGTTCAATTTCGGTCAAGGGCATGTACCTTGGTTGCGGGCATATCTCCAGTAGGGGGTGTGCAAGAGGCAGCTGATCGGTGACTCTCTCTCATTGATGTTTCTAACTCTCTACCTCTCCCCCTTCCTCTCTGTACAAAATCAATAAAATATATATTTAAAAAATATATATGTAAATATATGTATATTTAATATACTGGCTACCAGTTCTATCTTGAGAATTCTTCATCGTGACAGCATTTCCAATGGAAATCACTGCTGTGCGAGCAGACCCTCAGAGGTGCAGCTTTCCGGAAGCACATGTTGTTGACTATTTCACTGTCGGAATAGTCTTTACGATGACTCTTGACGAAAGCCTCTTCGACCTTGTAAACAGCAGTGTGCACAGTCTTGCTACGTGGCAGGAGGCTGGTTCACGGCGTGTGAGGAGTGAGTCTAGTCTTACTGGCTGAGAACCCTCACCTGCAGGAGGGAGCACTGTCCCCTTTTTGCTACTTAAGAATGTGGCAGAAATGTGTGCTGAGGTAGCCCAGTCAACCCTTATTGTTTCGGTGTGTGAATTTAGTCTCAGAATATTTCCGGAAGGGTGACGTTGTGGAGAATCCACTGCTGGGACCGGGCTCCGCTGCAGTCTCTGATGCTGGGCATCTGGCTGTCCTCCTCCACGGCTTTGTCCAGGCACTGGTTGCTGTTCACATGCTGCAGGCTCAGTTTCAGAGGATCATACTCCCAAAGTTGGTTGCCTTTTAGCTGATGGCATTTGAGCTTTGTGACTGGGCCATTGAGTTTGGAGACATCCAAGCAAAGGTCATCCGTCCTAATTTCTTTGTTGGCAGTGTAAGAGAAAACCTGATTACCTCCCATACCATGACAGTTCAAGATTCCAACTTTTTCATTCTCTTTTCTAGCCATGTTATCAAGATTTGTTTCCACATTGTGTATCTCTCCCAAAGAGAAATAGTGACGTGGAATCTGTGAATCAGGATAAATATTCTCTAGGTACCAAGAGAAAGGTTTGCACTGGAGTTTGTGTCTTAGACCAAGTCTTGATGTTATGTCTCCATAATCTACCTTTGTAACACCTGGAGAAATTATATAGAAGAAATTCTTGAATTCATCCATCCATACTTCTGCGAGGCGTCTGTTGTTTTTATTGATAATCTGTCTAGTGCCTTCTGGAAACGTGTAAGGTGTCGCTTTCCGAAACACATGTCCAACATGTGAGCAAGTAACGATCTCCAGGGTGCCTCCCCATTGCCAAATCCTAAAGGAAATTTCTAGGTTTTCTCCTCCTCAGATATCCATTCCAGCATTGTATGTTCCAATCTCCTGGAAGTAATCTCTGTCTACTGAAAACTGGCCTCCAGTCATGGTAGGCATTTTTACAGGAAGAGTCCGGTCACCTTTCCTTCTGTCCATTTCTCTCTGGGGCACAGGGCACCAGCCAAAACTGAGCTTCCAGTTGAATCTCCCATAGGTCATATCAGAACCGGCCATGTACTCAAAAGTATCATCACTGATCACGTCGATGATGGGACCACCGTTTTCCTGTCATGTTTGATGCTGGCTAAGAGAGGCTCCAGCTACCCCACTGTGCACTCACAGTGAGCATCTAAGAACGTGATCACTTGGCCTTTGGACACAGCGGCTCCTTTTAACCTGGCTCTAATATATCCAGAACGTTGTTCCATTCGAATTACATGAACTGGTACTTTAAATTTTTCTCACGTAACTCTCCAGAGGTCTTTTCAAAAAGTCTCTTTCACTGGCATCATCTACTAGAACAATTTCTTCTAGCATGTATCTTGGTTAGCAATTTATGACACTATGGACTTATGACCCTATCGCAGAAGTGTGCTCCAGGCCTCATTGTGGAAAACAATCACCACACTTGTTGTAGGAAGATTATCTGGATACACCTTTGTTTTACACCCTCCTAGCCTAACATCTGGTAAAGATCTGTTGAGTGCAATCATCTCGCTTGCCACTAAGTTGAACTGATTGATTTTAAACATCTCTTTCATCTTTTCTTGATCCTCTTTAGGAATGACGACTGGTTTTCCCCATTTCTCCCAGACCTTCATGAGGCTTTTGTACTGGCTCTAAAACATCCCCAGCAGGAAGTCCTCTCTCCTTTTTTTCATCACAATTGTTGCATTCACTGAAGTAAAGCAGCAGGAACATATCCAAAAGTACCCAAATCAAGGGGGTGGCTAGGACCACCTTGCAATATGCAAATTTTCTCATGGCACTTTAAGTCAAATGAGAAATTTTAAAATACATATATATAAATATACAAAGACCATGAAACTGTTTCCAATCCAGTTTCATCAAAAAGCACCTTCACAACCTCGGTTCCAGCAGCGGTGGCAGCGGCAGCAAGGACGTCCCTCGGGGCCAGCCCGGGTGGTGGCGGCGCGGTCCCGCGGGCCCAGCGTGGGCGCTCTTCCCAGGCCGCCGGCCGCCGCGCCGCCTCCTCGGCCACTCTATTCACTTGATTTTAGATTCACTTGTTGATAGACATGTATTTGTTGTTCATAATTTTTAACTTTACCTTTTTCTTCTTCTTCCTTTTATTAAAGAATACCTTTCAGCATTTCACATAGTATAGGTTTGGTGGTGATGAACTCCTTTAGCTTTTTCTTATCTGTGAAGCCTCTCGATCTGACCTTCAATTCTAAACGATAGCTTTGCTGGGTAAGGTAATCTTGGTTGTAGGTTCTTGCTATTCATCACTTTGAATATTTCTTGCCACTCCCATCTGGCCTGCATAGTTTATGTTGAGAAATCAGCTGACAATTATATGGGTGCTCCCTTGTAGGTAATTAACTGTTTTTCTCTTGCTGCTTTTAATATTCTTTGTGTTTTGCTCTTGGCATTTTGAAAATATATTTTATTGATTTTTTACAGAGAGGAAGAGAGAGGGATAGAGAGTTAGAAACATTGATAAGAGAGAGAGTCATCGATCAGCTGCTTTGCACACCCCCTACTGGGGAAGGGCCCGCAACCAAGGTACATGCCCTTGACCGAAATCGAACCCGGGACCTTTCGGTCCGCAGGCCGACGCTCTATCCACTGAGCCAAACTGGTTTCAGCTGCTCTTGGCATTTTGATTATGATGTGTCATGGTGTGGTCCTCTTTGGATTCCTTGTTTGGGTTTCTGTGCACTTCCTGGACTTGTAAGACTATTTCTTTCATCAAGTGGGGGAAGTTTTCAGTATTATTTCTTCAAATAGGTTTTCCGTATCTTGCTCTCTCTCTTCTTCTGGAACCCTCATAATACGCATGTTGGTACGCTTGAAGTTGTCCCAGAGGCTCCTTACACTATCTTCATAATTTTGGATTCTTTTTTATTGTTGCTTTTCCGGTTGGGTGTTTTTTGCTTCTTTGTATTTCAAATCTTTAATTTGATTCTTGCGATCCTCTAGTCCGCTGTTTTATATCTGTATATTATTTTTTATTTTAGTCAGTATATGTTCAATTTCTAGTTGGTCTTTTTCATAACCTCAAGGGTCTCACTAATATTATCAGCATTTTCTAGGAAATTCTTGAAAAACCTTATAACCATGGTTTTGAACTTTATATCCAGTCGTTTACTTTCCTCCATTTCTTTCATTTGTGATGTGTTTCTTTGTCTCCGCATTTTCGGTGCTTTCCTGAGCTGGTAGAGTAGCTTTGTGTGCTAGGTGTTCTATAGGGCACAGTGGCTCAGCCTCCCCAGTTACCTGAGGTGGACACTCTGGGTGCACCCCTTTGTGGACTGTGTGCTCAGACTTTTTGTAGTTAAGTCTTGATTATTGTTGGTATCACTGGGAGGAACTGACCTCCAAGCCAAATGGCTGTGAGGATCAGCTGTGTCTTCGCTGGAAGAACTTCTGTGCTGGAGACACTCTCATGAGACAAGACTTGCAAAATTGCAAAAGCTTGTGTGCTCAGCTTGGATGGGGTGGAGTTTCAGGGCGGAGCAGACGGCTTTCCCATCAGCCCGGCCCTATGAGGCCCCTGGGTCTCAGTGTCCCTCAGTAATCACTGCAAGCAGCTCTGAGAGAAAGCCACCCTTGAGTTTTGCCCGCTGCCAGCCAGTCCAGTTTCTCCCCGAATGAGACGGGGTTCCCAGAAATTCGTCCGGAACTGGAGTTCAGCACAGTTGTGAGCCCTTGTCTCCCTCCCACATTAGAAAGCCAGCCAGGCACTCAGCTGCCCGTGCACATAGTCGCCCGTCCCCTCCGTGTGCGCATCTCCATACCTCAGCCTTTTGCAGCTCCTCAGAATCAATGTGCTTTCCTCTTTTCTTTTAGTTGTAGAATTTCCACTCAGCTAGCTTTTCTATGGTTCTGGATGGTGTCCATTTCGTCTTTTAGATGTAGTTTTGATATTATTGTGTGAGGCAGCAGTTTACCTATGCTGCCATCTTAGTTTTTCCCAAAGAGAGAATCTTAAAAGCAGCAAGAGAAATAGTTAGTTACCTACAAGGGAGTACCCATAGGACTGTCAGCTGATTTCTCAACAGAAACTATGCAGGCCACAAGGGACTGGCAAGAAATATTCAGAGTGATGAATAGCAAGAATCTACAATCAAGATTACTCTACCCAGCAAAGCTATCATGCAGAATTGAAGGTCAGATCAAGAGCTTCACAGATAAGTTAAAACTAAAGGAGTTCATCACTACCAAACTAGTATTACATATATGAAATGCTGAACGGTATTTTTTAAGAAGAGGAAGAAGAAAAAGGTAAATATAGAAAATTATGAACAATATAGTGACAACAGAAACATATCTATCAACAAGTGAATCTAAAAATGAATAAAAAAATCTGATGAACAGAATAAACTGGTGAATGGAACAGAATCAGGGGCATAGAAATGAAACAGATAGATGATTCTCAGAGGGAATGGGATGTGGGGTGATGGGGGAAGAGATTAGAGAAAGATCTTATATGCATGTATGCAGTAAGTATGCTTCTTTGTATTTCAGATTATTACAATTGTTCCCCTGTTATCCTCTTCCCCAATAACTCCCCTCCACCCAGTTCTTACCCAGACAATAGGTGGCAAGGGCCTGCAGTGGGGTGGGACCCAGGTGGAGTGAAGCTATGGGGGTAATAAGAGGGATATCTGTAATAATCTTAACAATAAAAATTATATATTATATATGAAAGAGAAAACAGGCAAAAAGTCATCACAAACACCTGACAATAGTGGCAGTGAGCTCCTCTCAGGGGCCCTTTATTCCAGCCAGCTGAAGTGTTTATGCTGGAAGAGTCAGTACTTTTCAAATCAGCGCATCAACATGCACATGGTCGGATACACACCCCCACAGGGCACACGTTTTAAGACCCCAACTGAGTGTGCAGTACTGCTATAGGGCCGCAGGGACGGGTGGAAGCAGCACAGAGCAACCTGCCCGGGCAATGGGACCTGCCTGTAAGCACACCCTCTCACCTGCTAAGTCAAGGTGGACTGCCTCAGCCAGCAGTCTAGCTTCTTGGAGACAAGAGAACCACCATGTCTGTCTGCAATGCCGCACATCCAACAGCACTCATTGTGAATCACATGCTGACCCTGGAGGAGGAGGAGGCGAGAGCAGGGCCAGGTCAGGGCATGGAGCCCTGTGGAGGGGCACTCTGGAAGGAAGACCTGCTGAATGCAAACCTGAGGAACCAGTACCTGTGCCCAGCCATGCAATCACTAGATGGAAAAGATCAAACACTGAGGAAAAGGAGCTGGAAGAGGAACCCAAATGGAGGGGCATGGGATAAGAGTAGGTTTCGGGGGCTGCTTCAATTGTCACATACATGTATCACTGCTGAAGGGCAAACACTAAATGCTGCAAGCCTCCAGAGAAGGAGCAGATGGGTTGGAGAAAAAACCATGACCTCACAGAGGCCAGCGCCCATAGACAGGGCATATTCTTTATTTAATAAATAATGTCAACTGTGAACTCCCTATTGGAGCTCCTCACTAAAGATCAACCTGAAAAACAAACCATGAACACTAGACGTTATGTTCAAATGTAACTTAAAAAAAGAGAAATTAGCCCAGGGGCATGACTCAATGGTGGAATGTCAACCAACGAACCAGGAAGTGGGGGTTCAATCCCTGGTCAGCGAACATGCCCAG